TAGATAGATAGATAGATAGATAGATAGATAGATAGATAGATAGATAGTTGACCTGGTGGTGATGGTGAAGCCGCGGGCCCTGGCCGTGTCCACCAGGGGGCCGAACAGCTCCTGGCGGGGGGGCGGGTGGCGCCTCAGCAGGGCCTGGCTGGGGAAGGCCTCCTGGACCTTGCGCGCCACCCAGTGGTTGGCCTGGATCATGCACTCTGCCACCGTCTCATGGACCTCCAGCGGCTGGCGGGGGACCAGGGCGCTGATGTTCCTGTGCTGGTCCAGCTGGGCGCGCACCTGCGAGGGGGGGGGGGGGGGGGGGGGCAAACCCCATAAAAAACAAAAACTATTGAACCGGCTTAAGTAGTCGGAAGGTTTCAGACCTTGCTGCTAACTAACTGATGCCGGTGTTTTGCGGGTTTTTTTAGGAGAAACTTAATACCCCAGAGGAATGTAAAAGTTTCTTTTGTGCTGTTAGGAGCCGTTTATTTTTATGGAGAATTGTTCTTTTCTGAGCAGAAACGGCTAATATTAGCTAACAGCTAACATTCAGGCTAGCTGCTGCCTAAATGTAAGCTAATTGTAGATAGGCTATATATATATATGTATATATATATATATATATATACAGCAGAACCTCTACTAATAATTGTCTGCAGTATTTATTAAGGAGTTATCGTAGGTTTTTGGAACCAATTCTAGGAATTACAGTGAATTCTGATGACAATATTTGAACCAACATACCAATATTTGAACATACGAAGTAGCTCCTGGAACCAGTTAAACTCCTATGTAGAGGTTCTGCTGTACATGAAAACATTTTTAAAATAGGCCATTCGTTGAAGGTGCTCCTTATAAAATCCGGTACCTCCACCCCCTCCAGCTCCAGCGCCCCCCCCCGGTCCCTCTGGGCCCGCAGGTGTCGGGCCACCCGCGTCAGAGTCTCCAGGGCCGGGACGAGCTGCGTGTCCCCCTCCGGGGGGGGTGCCCGGCCCTCCAGCAGGGCCTGGGCCTCCTCGTAGCTCAGCTGGTAGGAGGACCGGATCAGCGAGCGGCCGAACCACACCGAGCGGACCGCCAGGCTCTCAGCGTCCAGCTCCCAGATCACACTCATGGCGTACCTGAAATGGGGGGAGAGCAACAGATCTTAAACATTTATACATACGTTTTTTTTTTTTTTTACAAATATTTGTGACGTACCCAAATTTACTCAAACTTTCACTCACGTATACACTCTTTTTATATTGTATTTGCATTTTTTTTAATCTTCAATGGCATCTTGCTTTAACTCTGACCTTTGTACTCTACATAAGCTACTGGAAACAGAATTTCCCTGAGGGGGTAATCCCAAGGGATAAATAAAGTTGAGTCCAAGTCTGAACTTTATACTAACTTAATTATTTTTATTTTATTTTTACATTTTATTAAATTTTTCTATGACTTTGATATGTTGGAAATTTACTTCGGGTGTCGAGTTGAATATTGGATTGAATTTCACCTCGTAATGTGGAAAATTGTGTCCTTTTAAAGAAAAACAGCATTTGTTAATCAAATCTGCATAAATGCCCATCTATCCTCACATCAACTGGTGATACTTTTGTGGGGTTTTTTGTGTCTCTTTAATTATTTTCAATATATTTACTGAGTTTATTTAGCAAAAATGATTTTAAAAACAATATGTTGTGATGTTGAAATGGACTAAAACGTACGACTTTATGTGTTTTTGGAGTCATCCAGTCCACTGACAGCTGTTGGCTAACTTGATTAGCTGTCTGTTAGCTAACAACCCAAAAGTTGACTAACTGTTGGATGACTGTTAGCTAATTGTTAGCATGGCTGTTAGCTAACGATGGAGGACGAAGATGCCTTCAGTGTGTTCAGTGTATTATATTGTGTTCTGGATTTTGTATCCTAGCTTGATTTCTTTTCGGCCCTCTGTGCTGCTTCCATCCTGCTAAGCTGCTGGAGTCTCTTATTCTTCCTAAAGGGGAGAATAAAGTGTGTTTGTGTTGGGGGGGACTGACCTGTTGACCCCCCCCAGCAGTGAGCACAGGTCCCCACTCAGGACGGGGGGCAGCATGTCGTACCGCCGGTCGGCCAGGTAGTAGGTGGTGGCTCTGAGGAAGGAACAGACCAGCAGCAACGGGGATGAAGACAAGTCAACACACAGATACCCCAGTTGGTGTTTTTCTGACCTTATATTCTTTAGTGGGAACAAGAAAACGTTCTATACAAATTTAAATGGCTATAAAAAAAGTATGAAATAAAAGTATCAGAAAAATCAGCCAACAGATGACAGACTAAATCTTTTGGTGATGGAAACATTATTGGATAAGGACCACATGAAACATCTGGAGTTGTAATTATAGAACATCTTGTTTCTTTATCCTGCTCATCTTTGGGGTCTTAAACCTGTTTTAAGTTAACTGGAAACACTTTGGTGTGTTTCTTTGTTTTGTTTTTTTCACTTCCTGAGTGACAGGAAACCACAGAAGCTCTGCTCACCTGGATCGCGCCTCCAGGTCGGTCAGCGAACCCTCAGCCACAAAGTGGCTGACGTCGGCGATGTGGACACCCAGCTCTAGCAGCCGGCCGCCGTCCAGGCTGCGCACCGACAGCGCGTCGTCCACGTCCTCGCAGCCCGCCGGGTCGATGCTGAACACCAGGTGGGAGCGCCGCAGGTCCCGCCGCCGGCCGGCCTCCTCGGGCGCCACCGTCCACGGCCGCTCCGGGGAGCTCACCGGCAGCTCCCGCAGCTGAGGAGGAAGGTCCCACACAGAGGACAGAGCTGGGGTTTCCAACACAGAGGAAAGAGCTGGGGTTTCCCACACAGAGGACAGAGCTGGGGTTTCCCACAAAAAGGACAAAGCTAAGGTTACCCACACTGAGGACAGAGCTGGGGTTTCCCACAAAAAGGACAGAGCTGAGGTTTCCCACACTGAGGACAGAGTTAGGGTTTCCCACACAGAGGACAGAGCTGGGGTTTCCCACAAAAAGGACAGAGCTGAGGTTTCCCACACTGAGGACAGAGCTGGGGTTTCATTCAGTGTCAGGACAGCAAGACGACCCCAAATACTCATTAAGTATGAGTTAGACTTCCTGTCCTCCGACCCATTTTCAATGTAAAATATTTACATTTTTTAGCACAAAATGTGCAATATTCATAGTTTATTATCCTACAATGTGCAATATTTATGGTTTTGTAAGCCACAATGTGCAATATGTACTGTTTTTTAACCTCAAAATGTGCAATATTTACTGTTTTTTCCGTACAATGTACAATACTTATACAGAGGTATTTATTCTTATTTCTGCAATGGAAATACACCAAAGACTATTTTTTGTTAATTGATATTTCTGCACTGTTTAGAGTCGACTTTGGACTTTGGAGTTGGCTGTACATGAGTGTAGTGATAAAAGTCGCTCCGATGGAGGTGGCAAACGCTTAAAACACGACTCTACATCCTGCAGATCCACATGACAAAGCTCAGCTTTAGTCCTTTGGGGGGTTTTCCTGCCTGCAGCTGCTCTGACCTGAGCATCTGAGAACGGGGGGACGTGGATGCAGTTCTCCACCAGGATGGTCTGGACCTCGGTCTCCAGCTCGCCGGCTCGGCCCAGAACCCGCACGCTGTGGCCGTTGGGGTACAGCGAGGTGCTCTCCCACGAGTCGATGCGCACCACCACCCTGTGGTCCTGAACGGGGGGGCAGAGTTTCAGCAGACAAACCACAACGTTAAAGCAACTTTAGCTTTGATGTTGGCTCCACAGGGTGAGCTAACGCTAAAGCGCCATTAGCTCCACTGGGTGAGCAAACGCTAAAGCGCCATTAGCTCCACTGGGTGAGCTAATGCTAAAGGGCCATTAGCTCCACAGAGTGAGCTAATGCTAAATGGCCATTAGCTCCTCTTGGTGAGGTAATGCTAAACGGCCATTAGTTCCTCAGGGTGAACTAATGCTAAATGGCCATTAGCTCCTCTTGGTGAGCTGATGCTAAATGGCCATTAGCTCCTCTGGGTGAGGTAATGCTAAATGGC